CCCCCCCCCCCCCCCGCAGCTACACAGGTACCAACGCTACAAAAGTCTGAGTTTAAATGTAAACTCTTCCGCACCCTCCGTCGTCTCCCCTCTCCCTTCAGGAGCTTCACTTCCTCTACCTCCTCCCCGCTGGTCGCTAGATCGCAAGCTTCACACCCCTCTCCGGTCTCCACCGCAAGGAGGGCCCTCCTCCCGCCCCCTCCCCCCACTCATCACCTTCTTCCAAGAAACCACCCTGGATCCACCTATGCCCTAAAGCCCTTAGGGACATGAGAATCTTTATTCGGTAACTCCGTTTGTCCAGAAATTGAAGACTCCTTTGCAATACAGTTAAAAAATAGTAGCTACACCCGGACTGTCAATGTAGGGGAAAAAAGAAAAACCTGCAAAAGCTGAGGTCCAGAAATCAACAAAAACAGAAGACCGACATTAAAATGAACATACCAAAGCAGCAATGCCAAGTAGTACTTGCGCATACATCATACCCATCATTGAATGTAGCGCAATTTTGGCGCGTCGGCCGAGTTGCATGCGGCGTCCGAAAAGCCATGTCAATGTCACCGAAGCCAGCGTCAAGTAAGCCTACAAATGCTGCTGAATTTGGCTTGAAAACTGCAATGGAGGAACAAATACACTATTCCATCTATGTTAGTGCCAATTCCACATAAAGCCTAAGGATGAAGAGCTCCCGCATATCACAAGAACATCTGATCTGGTAAGCAGACTGTAGCAACCAGGTTGACCTTGGTAGCCTAAAATGGCAAAGGCACGATAGGATCACAATATGAGAGAAGGAGATAAGAATGAGATAAGACGTTTCGGTCCATTAAGTCGCGTACGCCCTAACTCAAGACCGGTAATTTTTCACCCACATATGTCTGTGTTTACTGCTGAGGGATGAAACAGACCGCTGTACGATATGTCCTTCAGCGTATGGTATTTAGATCTAGCGCCCTTGATCTTAATACTTCCTTCAGTTTTCTGTTACTTCTGTCGTTTTTCAACATAATTCAAATTTTCTCAAACTTATCTTTACCGTGTTTTTACGCTTACAGATTCTTTTGGACTTTCATGTATCGTCACAACCCGATTTTCTCAAATTACTAAATTCAGTAAGAAAAAAACACAAACATCCGACGGCATGAAAATTTCAGGAAAGCCTGATCTTTTTTCCCCGCGTATTTTTTTATGTGATTATAACAAAGAGATATCTCAGTGTTCACAAAATTTACCATATTTCGATGCATAAATTGAGCGGTTGTTGGATTTTCAAAAATGTTGCGCCATTTCGGATCAGTGAGCCATAAATCTTCGGGAAGCCATCGATCAGCATATTTTGGCCATGAATTATAGACCAGGCCAGCATCGAGACCAGCCACAAATGCGCCTATAGAACAACTGTCAACTGGATTAGAAAATGCTTCGCATTATGTAATATACACGGCTAATTTCCATTTTTCAATTCCATTCTCTTACATGTGGAACTTTTCTTCCCGATTTACATTTCTCACAAAAATTCAAAATGTTCTAGAATTTAGGGAGGCTGATTTGATTGTCTTGATTTTTTTCTACACAGGCTAATTAGGCGCAGTAGCAAGAAGCTTTTTATTGAAATAGTAGAATGGAAAGACTGGTTTTAAGTGTCATGTGCCAGGCCTCAAGGACAAGTTAGTACCTTTCAGTGACAATAGGCATTTGCACAAATCAGAGGACTATCATTAGCTTAAATTTAAGTATTCCAGAACAGCACCGAAACATAGTTGCCGTTGGCGGTGTTACCACTTAAGTGCCACCACCTCTCAGAGAGAGAAGACACGTAAAACTCTTTAAACTTCAACATCTTTTCATTCAGGCGATGGTAGCATCTATTTTTTTAGGGTAAGCGGGGCCAAAGAAAAGCGGAGAAGTGCTTACCCATTACCGCCGTGAGGACGATAAGTGTTTTTGACAGATGTGTCATGCCACGCAGTCGTCCAATTTTGTTGATATTTGTGTGCTGAAATTTTCACGGTTATGTACGCACGTAAGGGGGGAAAAGCTTGGCAAAAATGCTGGAAAAGTTGTCAGCTGCATAGCTGGAAAAACACACAGTGAATTAACAGATGCTCCAAGAATTCTGAGTAAATCACACGAGTTCTACAAACAGTCTATTTTGGCGTCCCCAAAGCAATGAAAATCGAACCTCCAAAAAAAACGCTAAGAATGGTACTCTCCTGCTGATTCTGCGTGCTTTTTTTTTTCAAAACACAACACATCTGTAGAATCATAGCAAGAATCATTCACTCGCCTTTTTATTTAAAAACTGAGCTAAAATACTAGTTTAAATTTGGCATAAATTAAAAAACTAGTTAAAATATAACTTACATCATGCGGTGTGAAAACATGCGATAGGCCTGTCCACAAAAAGACTGTGTATAAAACGAATGCCAAAGTCAGATGTGTGGCCAAGCGATATTGCGAGACACGCGGAATATCCTTGTTTGAATTATTGTTCGGGTCGAGTCCTGATTTTACCATCCACCAACCGATTAAGCCCTACAAGGCAAAATAGCTTCTAAAAAAAACATCAGAAAAAGGGAAATTCTGGTGAACAAAAAAAGTGAAAATTAAATCTTCTTCCTGAAATTTTAGAATGACCACCTTCTAAAGCACTTTTCCTGCCTAAGATGGTAGAGGATCCTAAAAGATGAGCTGAAAAGTACATGATTTATGGCTTTCGATACAGTGCTACTGAAAAAGTAAAGGTAATTGTTGGCAGAAAAGCAAAAAAAGTTTACTTGCAGGCCAACTAAACTGCCAGCAATTAGCATTCGTTTTTTCATCGGTGAAGCAAAACGTCCTCGTGCCCAGAAATATACACATGGAGCCAAGAAGATGATGCCCAGAGCTCGTCCCCACATTCGATGGATGTATTCCATTGCCCAAATGAATTTGAACTGTGCCATCGTCATTTCCTCGTTGCTACTTTTGCTGTAGAGGTGAAAAAGTATAGGATATTTAATGTCAAATTACCTAATAAACTAAAGAAATTCTATTCAGAGAACAGATGTCCGTCGACTGTGCTGAGGGAAACCCGCGAAAAGCCGGCCAAGAAGCAGCTACACAGAAAAGTGAAAAAAAAAGTATCTTGCTTTGAAAGGCAGATAGACAGCCATAAAGAAAAAGCGATGAAAAGAAAAGTGCATCTTGTCGTGAAAGGCAGATACACAGTAGATGTGCTGCCAAGGCACAAGGACCGATGGTGTAGTGGTAACACATTGCGCCCGGATGTGAACAGGAGTGGTTCGGTTTCTTTTTGGTTCAGAAAAATTTTTGAGAAAAGGCTTCGTTCACGACAAAGTGCTCGAAAATACTGAAGAATAAAATGTACATAAATAATGAACAGTTTAGCTAAGATTAAAACGTTTCGGTCCGTTAAGTTTCGCAAACGTCTAAACTCAGTCCTACAATTAGGCCTCATCATTAAAATCGTTATGGCATAAATTATTACATAATAAATAAGGGTAGATACTGTAAATACATCGGGAACTACAAAAAAAAGTGCGAAGTCCAGGCTATTAAATTATGAGACTACAGGCTATAACATACACCGGACGAACTGCCTTCAAACATATGAAACTTCTTCTAAATCAGCTATTGAGAACTTACTATTTGTACTCTGGAAACTGCTTGTAACGTTCGAATTCCGCTTCCCACTGCTGTTGACCCCATGGTGGCTTCATTGTACGAAATAGATCCCAGTTCACCATACTCAGTCCTGATTCAGTTAATCTGAAATTCCTATTGTTTTCTCACTGAAGACAGTTTCTAGTTAATTCAGGGAGTCTCAATCTGTACATCCCTAAGTAAATTAAGCTGCTGTAATCCTAACTCAGTTCTAAACATTCTTACGAAAGTTCTGGTCCATTGCAAGCACTTTCACGAAAAATTCTTTCCCGCAGAAAGCACTTTTATAAAAATTCTTACCTAAGTGCCCCTTTGGAAATTCTGGCCCCACTTCAAGTACCTGTGCACAAATTCTGGCTCTATCTCATGCCTTTCCAGGCACTAAAGAAAGATATCTACGAAACTAGCACTGTCTGGATCTGCATATACTTTTAGAAAAATCCCGATCGCATTGTAAAAATTCGATGCAAATTTCAGCTTCGCTTTAAACATTTTCATGTAATCTCACCCGTTATTCGCCAAAATCCCCCTTGCTAATTTATTTTCTCAATGTTTTTTTTCAACAAATGCCATGATGTATCACACAATTTCTAAACAGAGACTTGGCTCATGCCTGGTGACGCCTCCCAGTGCAACTGCCCCATAGACCATTCCAGCACATCCGAGTAGCCAGGCTCCAATCACTCGTCGCTGCGCAGGTGTTAATCGCTCCACCAGCGGCACACCAAGGACAACAGGTCTTCGAACAACAACCTTTCTAAAAAAAGGATAATAAACTGATATCAAAGTTAATGGAACAACTGCCAGCTGCCAGATTGAGGACCGCGTTATGAATTATAACTGTTCTGAAGTCAAAACCCCTTCCGTATTCAGTGACAGGCGGAGGCACTCAGAAAGTAGCCAGAGTAGTAGCAAACACCAACAGCAACCATCCACTGGCAAGGCTTTCGATGCTCCCTTTTCTGAAGATTATTCACAAGCAAGCTTATGGCTTGACTTCCAGGCGCGTGTCAGTACCAATTTACCGTCGAAAAGAATCGTCGAGGGGCTGGTTATTTCACTCACAGTCGAACTTTCGACAATATTGTATCCCACTAACAATAACGAAACGGGAGGGGATCGAACTGCTCTTCTTCATGTCGGGACGCAGTGTATTACCTCCACTGTATATCTGCTTTTCAAGACAAGATACACCTTTCTTTTCTTCTCTTTTTCTTTGTGTTGGCTTCTGGGCCAGTTTTTCGCGGGTTTCCTGCGGCAATAACTGTTCTAGCAAATTTAAAATACTGGCTATTGATCTTTTGAGAAAACCTAACTAACGCTAATGCCACTTCATTTTGAGGAAAAAAAAACCTCTTCACCGGCCTTTTGCTCAACAAAATTTTTAAAAAAAATTATAGAACTCACATTATCGGAATTTTGAAATGAACCGCCGGTTTCCGGACGATGGCCGAAGCCGAGCCCGTGACCAGTCGCGAGAGCAAAGACATCGTTTCCAGCGGCTGAAATTACTGGCAATTAGCAAAAACACTAAAAATGAAAGAGTCCCTAACGCTGACAACATGAAAAATGTCTGTGAAGCACGAAGAGCACAGCACAGGGAAGCTGTCATTGCATGGATATGGAGCTCAGATCTATAAAATTTATTCAAGGTGCTCAAATTGCATAGCAAAAAGCAACAAAATTCCACTGATATTTTATCAAAACTAGCGAAAAAAAAGCAAATAACAACGAAGCAACAATAACATAAAAAACAAGCAAGCATAAAAATTTTTCAGCACATACATACGTACATACATACAAACATAAACAGAC